GAAGATGATGAAGATGATGAAGATGAGCGCACAGCAGAGCATCAGCTGATAAGTTCAGCAGGCAGAAGCTCATTGTTTGGCAGACAGATATTAAAGCAAAAATACTGTGTTTAATTATGGTTACAGTTTTCTGCAAAAAAAAGCTCTAAAAATTACATTATCTTTACATTTTATGATAATTTTCTACTACGATATATACCGTTCTGTGAAGGGGTTCAGTTTATACCGTGATATGAAGTGGAGGTCATACTGCCCAGCTTTAGTTTGAAGATAATTAGAGTTGAAAATAAATCACTCTCTATAATTATGTTGACAATAGGTTATTCTGTTTGAACTGGAATTAGTATAATTTTAAATGTAATAATGTAGACTAATGACAAATTGGTTAAATTAAAATAAATTGGCTATTTTGTTGTATAGCACTACAGTAATAATATGAAGTTAATTGAAGTTTTGAGACATTTTAAAATGCTTTTTTCAGAAACGCATCCAACACTTGCGTTGGTGGGGGGGGGGCGACTGCTCGACTGCTCCCCTGAATAAGTGAAACATGTAACACAGTTTAAACTGAAAATAAAAATATTTGACCAAAGAAAATCCGGAGCAGGACTACAGAGAGAGATAAATATGATTTATATTTTTATTTCTGTGACTGTACAACCCACAGGAGACACATTAACAACAGTCGTCATTTCGTTCCTCGGCTTCAAAGCAGCTCCTTTAAATCTACAGCTCACACTGTTAAAATGACTTTTTTTCATGGATCCCCGAGAGCAGGACTTCAATCTCCGAAGTAGTTCTTCTTAAAACAGACGTCAGGGAGTAATTTATTTATTACTAAAAATGCAGACTTTGCGGAAGGGTGGAAATAGTACTCAAAATGGGCGGGGCAAAGGGCGGATGTGGAGAATGTGGGACACACCCACTCAAACCCTTCAACATGAACATCTGAAGTGCACAAGGGAACGAGGGTGGGAGTGTGAGTATTGGGCAGGACTTAAAACAGGGTTGTTCACAACTCATCCTTCTGTTCACTGACAGGCCCGGTTGAAATTCTACYSGASAAATCCATGTGAGAGGAGCAGAGAATGGAAATTAGTATTGAGCAGAATTACCAAGGAAGGCAATGGCCAGGCTATGGAGGAGGAGGAGGAAAATCAAGATGATGACGAATAAGAGTTCTAGGAGGAGGAGTGCAAAACAAACAAACAAAAAAAGGACTTGCGTTAATAAAGACATTGGGCCTCATGCAAGAACATGTTCGTATTCTTATCCTAAATTTCTCTTACTTTTGTTCGTACAAAGGGTTCGTACGAACATGTCACGTC